GCAGACTCTAGCCCACCAGGTAGAAGCCCCTCACCCAGGTAGCTGATACCAGTCACGTAGGCAGAGGGAGCAGGTTTCCCCCCTCCCTCAGGAATGTAGCCAGCTCAGGTTACCTAAAGAGATAGGGTAAGGGTGTGTCTCCTCTGCTGGGCCCATCCTAATCAAATTGTCACAGCACAGAGATTTTGGGGAGAAACAAAGATGGCTTCCTGCCACAGTGTCTGGCTCTATGGACTTCATACACATCCAGCTTTTTTAAATAGTCCCTAATCTGTTCTTTCACCACTGTTAGCTAGTCACCTCTTCCTGTGCTGTCAGGTTCAGTACTCTGGGATCTGACCTTGCCTGTGAAGACTGAGGTGAAAAAGGCATTGAGTACTTCAGCCTTTTCCACATCATCTGTCACTAGGTTGCCTCCCCCATTCAGTAAGGGACCTACACTTTCCCTGATCTTCCTTGTGTTGCTGACATACTTGTAGAAACCCTTCTTGTTACCCTTCATGTCCCTTGCTAGCTGCAACTCCAGTTGTGCTTTGACCTTCCCAATTTCATCCCTGCATGCCCAAGCAATACTCTTATACCCCTCCTTAGTACTACTGTCCAAGTTTTCACTTCTTATAAGCTTCCTTTTTGTACTGTAGTTCACTGAAGAGTTCCCTGATAAGCCAAGCTGGTCTTCTGCCATACTTGCTGTTATGGCATATGCCCCATATGGTAAGCTCCCCAACACATTTCTGTGTTCCTTTATGGTCCAGAAGTTGTTGCACTAAGAAGCTCAATGCTGTATTTAACAGTACACAGAGATTCATAATAGGCTGCATAACTTACACACACACAGATGTATTCCCTGAACTCTCACGCATTAGATCAAGTGCCATAAAAAGACACCACTCCCCTGCCACCAGGTTTCTGGGCTTGTGGAGAGCCCGGCGGGCTGGGTACTATGGCCTTGTATTGCGTTGAATATAGATAAGGGGTGGGGTGAATGGAAATTAAATGATCATTCAGAGTAATCCCGTCTGAAATCTATTCCTACAGTTCCTACAGCATTTTATACCAACACCAAATGAGTCCCTCATTGGGAATGATCTTGACAGAGAAGCATGGGTGAAGCTGAACAGACTGAAATCTGGATACGGACACTTCAAAACAATATTGTACAAGATGAACACCTTGGACAGCCCCTTGTGTGAATATGGTATCCAGCAAACAGAACAGCACTTAATGGAAAGCTGCAATCTTTACAAATGCCCAGAGAGGGTACATGGAATTCATACACTGAGTGATGATACCAGACAGTGGCTCATAGCTGGGCAGATGGAACAAGGGCAGGGGGCGGGCAGGGAGTTGGAAACAGGGGGTTTGCTGCCTTAGGTCACTGAGACCCTGGGGGCAGGATGGAGTGGGGTTAACCCAGTGCTTGGGCAGAGAAGACTAGCTCTGGCTTAGACTAGGCCCCTGCCCCACAAGGGGTGGGGGTGAGCAGGGTGCCACAATACTCCAGGGTAAGTTGGTGGAATGCGACCCACTGTGAGTCACAATGTGATGTAGTACAGATGTTCATTATGGTGATCTAACCTACAGCACTGAAGTCTGATACCTCATCCATCCAGGTTTATCTTAGAGTGGGATCTGCCATTTATAGAGCATTCTATACGCCCTCACTGTCTGTTCAGCTATGGCTGCAGAGCACTTTCAGCCTACTTACCATGCAATAAGTGTAACTTCTGTACCTGGTCCTAGTGATTAACAGTGACAAGAGGGAAGAAAGAGAAAAATCTTACAGCTTACCAGACTTCCAGCAATTTTGTGTTTGTAAAACATGTTTATTTTATAAATTCTGCTTCTGAAACAGCATGTCAAAAATAGGAAGGCCATGAGTCTGATCTGTATTTAACACAGATTTACAGAGCTATATAAAGCTCAAATGTAATTTAAATTAATCTTAGAGCCCTATTATACTGCCTGAATAGATAAATGGATTTTACTCTAAATGATCAGTATTAATGGCAATGATGTCCCATGGCTGGCCACATGTAACAAGGTATGTTCAATTGAACAACTGATGTTCATTTCAGGGAAAATTTATCAGTAATTTTCCCAATAGAAATCCTTCTAGGAGAGGGAGCACTACAGATGTTCAGTCCATAGCCACCCCCTCTCCCCTGCTCTCCATGCCTTTCCAACACCAAGTTGATCTACTCCATGAACTTGCCTCAGACTGGGCTCTGGGAAACAGGGTCAGAGAACAACTTCCTCTCCAGTCTCATAGCAGAGAGCACTGGGGAAAAGACCCCAGCCCCTACCCCAAATAGAGCAATATCCAGCTTGCTAAAGAAGCAGGGAGGAAAGATGGCTGCTCCTCTCCCCACCCAGACTGGAGAAGGGAGCTGGGCACTTTCCTGGCTTGGGGAAGGGGCCAGGGGCTGTGCTTTGCAGCTCCCTTCCCCACCTAGACCAAGAAGGTAGAGGAGCAGTGGGGCAAAGCCTCCCCCACCCAGAGCAGCTGCTTCTCTGCTCTGCTCCTGGACGCAGGGAGTGGAGCAGAAGTAGAAGCAGGGAAACCCCCATCCCCTTCTCACTCCTGAGACTCAGTTGCGAGAAACAGGTCGGGGGCTCACAGTGCTACTCCCAGCACTCTGCTTGCGGTCCAGGGCCTGGGACTCTTGTGTGAGCACTGTGCAGGGGATTTGTTCTGCCACCCCCAGGGAGAGGCTCCCTAAGCCCAGTTCCCCACTAGCTGACATCCCATTGCCTCACCACTGCTCAGCAAAGTGGAAGGGGCAGCGATTTAAAAGACTTACCCCAGCCCAGTTCCCCCTGGCTGGCTTCTCCTACCTCCCGCCTTCCCCCTTCCCTCCCCCTGAGCTGTATGGGCAAAAGTTCCAAAACCTTAGTTACAGTGAAACAACATAGATATTCTCTTTAGATACAGTAATCTCTCTCAGACAGATTTCGTAAAACTGATGGGAGACTTTGACAATGACAGCTTTCTAATTGAATCTTAAATAATACCAGACGCATGTCACTTCTGTTGTGATAAAAGTATGGATCATCACTGCATTGCCTATGTTATGTGAATGTTTTTATTGAATGCATGTTTAATTCTGGTATTCCTCTCTCTTTCCAATAATGTTCAAAGAAGAATGTTCACTGAAGGGATTTTTTTTTCCCCTGAAGACTAAGTACTACTCACATGACTATTTTCATGCCAAGACCTTTTCTCAGTCCTATTACCAACCTTCTCTGTTTTTTAGAAATATTTTTGTTTTAAATTTGTTGATTAATTGATGCCCAACTGTATTCTACTTAGGAATTGGGTGCTACTCCTAGCTCAGATTCATTATTTAATATATTTAGCCATATCCTATTCCATTTATTTTGAAATGTTCTTGCACTGTCTATTTTAAACAATTCCCACTGTTATGGCATATCTACTTAAATACCACCTATATAACAAAGCTTGAGCATTTTCTTCCAAAATGGTTTCATAATCCCTGTAACCAATAGTTATTTATTTCCCATCATTACTGGGCTGTCCTCTTCATTTCAATTACCCAGCATAGCTCAGTGTTAGTCTACCTCCTGCTCAAGCACTCATCCCTTTCCAACACTGTCATATACGCATAGAAAATTAGGGTTGGAAGGGACCTCTGGAGGTCATCTAGTCCAACCCCCTGCTCAAAACAGGACCACCCCAACTAGATCATCCCAGACAAGGCTTTGTCCAGCCAGGTCTTAAAAACCTCCAAGGATAGAGATTCCACAACCTCTCCAGGTAACCTGTTCCAGTGTTTTACTACCCTTTTAGTGAGAAAATTCTTCCTAATATCTAACCTAAACTTCCCTTGCTGCAACTTGAGACCATTGCTCCTTGTTCCATCATCTGTCACCATCGAGAACAGTCTAGTTCCATCCTCTTTCAAACCCTCCTTCAGGTAGGTGAAGCCTGCTATTAAATTCCCTCTCAGTCTTCTCTTCTCTAGACTAAATAAGCCTTGTTCCCTGAGCTTCTCCTCAGAAGTCATATTCCCCAGTCCCCTCATCATTTTTGTTGCTCTCTGCTGGACTCTCTCCAATTTGTCCACATCCTTTCTGTAGTGGGGCCCAAAACTGAACACAGTACTCCAGATGTGGCCTTACCAGCACTGACTAGAAGAGAATTATCACAGCCCTTGCCATGCATGCAACACTGCTCCCAAAGTAGCCCAGTATGTCATTAGCCTTCTTGGCAATAATATTCTGCTTATTGTCCACTGTAAGCCCCAGGTCCTTTTCTGCAGAATGTCATTGGAAACTGTGTATACAAATCTAAGGGCACAATTACCCCTCTCTGTTTCAGTTTGATTACATATCCAATTTAAACTATGCTAGGGTTAACTACTGTGACGTGGTAGACATATGTTGAGATAAGAATATGCCAGTATGAGTTAACTTGGTCTGAAAAAATTCTACCCAAGCATATAGAAGTAATATACCTACAACATTTTGATAAATAAAGCTGTATCCTGGTGTACCATTTTGGTGTCAAAATGCTTGAAGATTTCAATGAACATTTTTAATTCACAATTACTACAGAGAAGAGCTAAAGCCAGAGCTCTAGGAAAATAGGGAGATGCTTAAATATATTTATACAAGTCTATCATGTACTGATGTGTGTTTCTTGTTCAGAGTTCTCTTCTCCACAATGTATATTATATTGCAACATTGCAATATATGACATAAAATTATATGGTGCATTTTATTTGCACAGTATCATAATAAACCCAAGCTCCCAAGAAAGATTCTTTAACCTTTCTAACAAGTTAAATAGCTTTATGTTACCTGATAATCAATTTGTCCAGGAGTATAAAAAGCTTCTTCCCTTTCAAGAAAAAGTAAAGGTCGAGGAGCTGAAGATCCAAATGCTCCTTTCTTTGTACTCTCCAAGAAAGCTTTTTTAAAACTCTCTCTCTCTATGCTATAGTTGGAAATATTATAGAATGCAGGACCTGAAAAAAATCACAGTAGTTTTTATACAACTGCAACTTTTTATCGTATATAGTAATCAGAAATATACTTTTAATAGTACTTAAAATTGTTATACTAGCATACTATAATAAAATTGATTTAGCTAATGAGCACACAAAGTTGCTGCACATTTACTGAGCAGGGTTCTCTGCAAGTTACATATATTTCTGGACAACAGTTGGCTAAGGAATTCTGGTTTCCATGATGACTATAGTGATCACTCGCTTGTGAGGATTTTTGGAAACAAGATAGAGCCTGCAGCAGTTACAGCAGAAGTGCACACAGGCCTGTCTACATCAGTAAATTTATCTCTGAGTTTCCTAGCAACATGAAGCATAGCTCTCTACCTTCTAACATGCTAACAGAGAGTACCTACAAGTCTTATGGCTTAAAAGTGCTTTGACTCGTATATTCCCATGAACAGAACACAGGCCCAAGCCAACCAACCCTTGGGCTATATACAAACAAACTTGAAAAATATATTTTGGTGATTCACAAAACCTGCTAAAATCACAATCAGATTTAAAACCTATTTTAAAGTGGTCTTTTCTGGAGTACTGTGCCCAGTTTTGGGCTCCCCACTCCAGAAGGGATGTGAACAAATTGGAGAGTCCAGTGGATGGTAACAAAAATGGTTAGTGAGCTGGGGCACATGACTTCTGAGGAGAAGTTGAGGGAACTAGACTTATTTAATCTAAAGAAGCAAAGTGGGGATTTAATAGCAGCCTTCATACCTGAAAAGTGGTTCCAGAGAGGATGGAGTTAGACTGCTGTCAGTGGTGGCAAATGATAGAACAAGGAACAATGGTCTCAAGTTGAAGCAAGGGAAGTTTAGTTTAGATATTAAGCAGAACTTTCTCACTAAGAGGGTGGTAAAGAACTGGAACAGATTACTCAGACAGGTTGTGGAATCTCCATCCTTGGAGGTTTTTAAGATATTCAAAGCCTTGGCTGGGATGATACAGCTGGGGATCACCCTGCCTCGAGCAGGGGGTTGGACTAGACGACCTCCTGAGGTCTCTCCCACCCCTAATTTTCTATGATTCAATGACATCACTACATGAATCATATGTAAGCATACATCACCCTCCAAAGATAAGAAGCATAGTTTGAATTGCTTAGCCATAAGACACCTACATTAGGTCCTAGGACTAATTACTCAGGTATCCAGGTTGAGGACTAGTTACAAACCTCTTTTTTGATAAGGGGAAATTTCCTCCCAGAAGTAATGCACAGAACATTTTCACAGGACTCAGAAGAGAGGAGGTTTGACCCCAGTTCTCTTACGTATGTCAGAGTGCTCACAACTACAGCATACAAACATTTTGTGAGTCTCTCTCTCTCACGAAATTAAAAATCAGCAGGTTTCCCTTAATGCGTGTATTTTCAACTATAACTAAAAAGCATAAAATGTTCTAAAGATAATTTTTGCTGAAGTATAACTGATATTAAAGGAATCATCATGTGACGTCCCAGAGGGTTTTAGATGTCTTATAAAAGGGATACAAAGAAAAATGAAGCAATCTAGTAAAAAAAATTGCTAAAAGAGGTGATTTTTAGACTCTTTTTATCTTTTCAATTTATGTTTCATTAAACTATGGTGAAACATTCAAACAGAGATGTTATACTCTACATTTTGTGTTTTGCCATTTCAGTGAGATTTTCCAGAATAAAAGTTTAAAGTTACTGCTAAAAACTGGCTTCTGATGTACAACCTTGTTACTGCTGTACCATAAGGTAAGTATTATTATTTAGTTATCTAAAGCAACTGGAATAACATGCACAGTGTTATTATGCTTCTATGTGTGTACCTATATATGCTGTATGATGATAATCAGTGTAAATATCTTCTCTGCTGCACTGCACTGAATGCACATTCAAACAGCTACATACAAGAGAATCTCTGTACATCTTTCTAAAGCTGAACTACTGAGATTTTTAAAAGCCTCCATAACCTCAGCATTTCCTAATACAAACAACCAAACATATAAAGATTACCTCTGCCATATCTGTTGGTTTTTAAATGTGCTCTGTATAGAACCATTCCACTTTAGCCGTGTGAATTCAAGTCAGAACATTTCTAGCAGCAGTAACCATAATGGCAGCACATACTCCCTGAACTTCCTTGTGCCTTCAGCCATGACTACAAATGTGTGGAATTGCCCGAACACTTAGCAGACCCTTCACATAGGGATGAAGCTGATAGACTCTGCAGCTAGGGCAAAGGAAAATGGGTGTGTGCAAAATCCATCTTGAAGAGCAACTGTTACAGTTCAGGTAACTAACTATTCTTTTTCTTTTCCTTTTTTGTGCATATATCTATCTGTAACAGGACCCTTAACCCATTACTAGGGAGACTGGGTGGTTTGGGGTCTGCTCTTACTGCTACCTTTCCCTCCTCCCTCCCCCCTCCCCTTGCTACCTTCATTCTCCATCCTCACCCCAGCTGGTGCAGCCGTGGCTCTTCCTGTCTGTTTCCCTAGGTCGGCCCTTCCCCCCATCTCTCTTGCTCTAGATACACACACTCGTTCACTTAACCTTTATTATGTGGTCTGAGTTGGTGGGCTTCCAGGTGCTGCCACAGCTTGGACACCAGCCGATGATGTGAAACAAGATGGCCACTGAATCCAGGTGCCAACAGAGCCTGACTACCCAGAAAGTGCAAGTGAAGGGTTATGTGACCTAGAGCCTGCTACAGAAACCCATGCCTTGGACTAGTGTGGGTCAGTCTGGCTGAGGGAACTAGTGGGGACAGAACCTTCCCTGGGAGGCACAAGACCAGGAGCACTGATTGCTGCAAGGGGAACTTGAAAAGAAGCCTGAGTAAAGAGAGTCTGCAGACCTGCACAGGAAGCAAGCTAAGTCCCTGGTTTCTATTTTGTTTTCTTTCTACTTGAAGCATGCCACACAGGAGTGAGCTGAACCCCTGCAGGACATTTATGTGCCTGGGCATGGGCATTGGCATTTTGGAGCTCTTCATCTTGTTTCCCAGAGGACCAGCTGGTGGCTGAAGAAGAGGTGAAAAATACTAAAAGGGGTAACTGGGGATGCCCTGAACTCGAAGCTCAGCCAAGTGTGCAGAGTATAAGGACTGGGTATGATCTGGGATCACTAGTGTACAACATGGTAGATATCATGAGTTTTGGCACCTGAGGTCATGAAGCATGACCCAAAGCTGAGCCAGAAACCAGTGGCCCTGAACAGTGGGGCCCCGAGCTATACAGCTCAACTAAAGTAAAAGTGAGATGCAGCCAGGGAGCTGCAGATCAGACAAGGGCCTGTTTCTTTAAAGTGTGTTTAACCTTCTGGATAGCCTCCCCTACTGAGTGTACACCATGAGATGGCAGGAAAAAATGCTAAAAGGGAAGACAGAACAGAAGGTACTGACACTAGAAAGCCTCTAAACGCAGGAACCCCATAGTGACATCCATGGGGTGCCTATGCTTTCCTACTGCCAAAAGCCCTGAAGCCACTGTAAGGTATACACTCATGACTATGCTGCTACTTTGCAAATATCTAGAACAGAAGTTTTCTTCAGAAATGCTACAGATGTAGCCTGGACCCTGGCAGACTGAGGCTTTTTGTACAGAATCAGTACATGGTCTACTGCATAGCAACAACAATGCATGAAGCTATCCATCTAGATATTATTTACATCAATACTAACCAAAACGGATCCTGGTGTTCTTTAATTTTACAAAAATCTCCAATTTTCAGTTTTAAAAAAGTAAACTAAAATCCACATTTTTCTGTGATTAATATGAAATACCACTAATACTTATACATAATATACATATAAACACACACACACGCACATACATATACACAAACACACACACACACAGTGGTGTTTCATTTTAATCACAGAAAAATGTGGATTTTGGGCTCCTGACCAACAAGCCACAGACAAGTATAAAAGTCAGGTCTTTTTAAGTAAAATGAGAATATTTAGTGTACACCCAGCATGTACAGCCTCTATTCATCCTTTTCAGGCACGGGGTTTTGCGAAGATGACTAGGTGATACTTATTTTTTAAATCAGATTATCTACCATTGCCAGAAAATACAGGTAAGCCCTTAAATGCAACCATCGCTTTGCAGAACATGGTGCCTGGGGCTCCTGCCATTAAAGCAGCTGATCTTATAGCTACTGAAAAACAGTCTTTGATGAAAGAGATGGGAGAGGACAGGTGGCCATGGGCCCAATAAGACACCCCAAAAGTGCTGCAGGCACTGATTTTTAATTCCAGGAAAGGACCAAAGTCCTAACTGGCAGATATACTACCATTAATCTTTTCAAAATTGCTCATCATCAGATGAACAAAGACTGAAAGATTTTTGGATTGGTGGGTGAATTGCTGGTATCGTAGCTAGATGCAGCTTTGACTTAGTCCTGCTCCTTTGAAGTGCAGTAAATTATCAAGAATGGCCAAGATATTTGTTCTGTGATTTCTAGTGGCTTGTTACTAAAAGCCCAAATCAAAAAACTTTTCTATTTCACTATGTATGTTAGGATGGCACTTTTGTGTCTCTCTATCGTTAATTAAAAATACTCAGCATGTCTTAAAACTGACATGGGTAGCTAGATTTTACCCTTTTTTTTTTAAAAAAAAGAGATTCTTAAAGCATTTGTCATCAGTAGACACAGTTTGACCTGCAGAAGTTCTGTGGCATTCTAATTATAACCTTGTAGGCCAATCTCGTCAAGTGTCCTACAGCAGGACTGCCCAACTTCTGAGCAGCTGGCGGTTGCATGCTGTCAGGGTCACAAGCCCTAAAGCCACAAGCCATGCAGGTCACATGCTGTTGGAGGCCTTCTGGCCCCCCTCCCTACTATGCAGGCAGCACAGAACTACAACCACCACCACATGGCCCCTCTTTCACTGCACTACCCTGCCTTGGAGACCCCCAGCTGCACCAGCAGCAGCAAGAGCAATGGGGGGATTGGAAACTGGGCAGGAACTTTTGGGCTACCAGCTCAACCACCCCACCCTACACTACAGCAATAGAGGGAATCCATCACCAAAATATATAGCTTTACCTGGTTGTCATGGGGGATGACCTTTCCAGACAGGAAGGAATGAAAGAAACTTTAGAAGCAATTGCTATTTTGCTATAAATATGTAGTATGCATCAGTCTAAAAAGAGACCTAGTCTCCATTAAGTGAGTGAATGGGCTACTCTTCTGCTACTAAACAAATACACAGCCTGTCTTCAGAGAGAGACCTTATTTAACAATAGCACAAATAAAACAATATATACACATTATAGTCTACAGATCCAATTCAAGCTGTGTTTATGTTAGTCAAGAATTCTTCAAATTCACTAAATCCAACAGGTGTTCATAACATTGATCATGCACCAAATTTGTACAATCCATATAAAATTACCCAGAAACACCGAACTAATACAACTTTGAAAGGGAGGCTACATTTGTTTTCCTCTGGCCTCCTTCCAAACTCCTGTATAAACAAATAAGTGTGTATATTTTGTCCTAATTTTTACTGTATTTTAATATTACTTTTTAAGATTAATAGATAACTTCTTAGAATATCAATCTTGTTAATATTGGGGTTATGTAAACTGAATACCAGCAATATTTGGATTAATTGCAAACCTGGTGTTTTTTCTAGCCTGGAGTCTTGGGTGAATCGAACAGCAGTTTGACCAAATGGGATCTTTTTCATTCCTGATATTTTCTTCAAAGACTCAAGAGCTGACCGTGGTTCATTGTATGTGCCAGGAGCTGGTGTGATTGATTTCACAGGTACAAATCTCTAGTGAAGCAGAGGAAGAAATATGCCAGTGACAGCCTGCAGCTCATTTAGAAACTATCTGGGCAGAAAGTGCCCACATTAGTATAGCACCATCAGGGAATTAGGAAGTGAAGTTAATTTAGATGTTGTAGTAACTAATATTTTGAATCATATCTGAATGTATAGGGCCTGATTTTTCAAAGATGGGTATATGCAATTAAAAGCACAAACACTGCATGTGTTTCTAGAACGACTTTTTGTGCACACACAGGCAGTTATATATCTTACAAGGTGCACAGGTACGCACATGCAAGAGTATAATAGATAACAAGTAGTTGCGCATGGCCATGTTTGAGAATAAGGCCACTCATATACAGCTTTTATTATTATAGTCTATACAGCAAATGACTTACATACATCACTGACTTGAAATATTACAGAAAGCTAAATAAAAGTACATATACAAACACAGCCACATCCACTGCCAGTCAGCACTACATCACAAAACCACACAAAAGGGGGAAATATTTTAGAAAAGTACACTGCAATCGTCTCATAATTCCTTTGTAAAAGGACATACTTTCTGCCAATAACAAACGGATAGAAGACTCCTTCCAGATCTTACCCAGAATTTCCTGTATAAGGGTCTATGTGGTACCCAGTTTATTTATCTTAAAAAGATTATATCAAATATTACATCTGAACCATACAATTATCCTCCTACCCTAAATTATGAAGCAGTTTACAAGTAACTTGAAATGATGCAAGGAGTAGAGACAGACATAACATTTTAAATAAGTTTAAAAAGTCTTCAAAACATTCCCAAAGGCTTATGTACAGATATACAGGTGGAGTAAAAACCTCTGAAGCATGACACAAACGTACCTTAAGGAAACAGGTACTATTTGTAGCACTTTGTTCCACCCTATGCCTGTATGGTAAAATCGGTAATCCAGAATCCCACAAGGAAGTGCTCTCTCTCCCATCTGTTCTTCCAGAACTCTGGGTACTGCCAACACCACCAAAGCTGGAGACCCTCTGCCCCACTGGTGGAACTAGGATACTCCATAGGGCAGGGCAGACTGGGGCACAGGGAGGGGAGGTCAATTTACCCTGGTCCATCTGCTCTGTGGGTGGAGAGAGGAGCAGAGCCACAGGTTGCCACACCCTTGCTGAACTCCATGCTGGAAAACATGCCACTGCATGTGGCCACAGTGATTTTGAAGCACTCCATCTGGGAGGCATGACAGGGAACAGTTATGAATCTAAATCTGCATTTAGCATCAAAATAAAAATGAGCTATCTTCAGAGGTTCTGTCTCCCTTTCACAACTATAAAACAATGATTTTTTTGACAGCCAAATTTGCTTAACCTCTGAAAATAAGTCAAGTAATTCTGGTACCAAAATATAGGTTTGTGTGTTTTATTTGGATATCCCCGTTAGCAATTTTAGTCATAAGCATACTGGTAAAATAATCATCCCTAAAATATGTAAAAATCTTAGAAACATTTATCCTGTGATGAGAAATGATTAACAAAGTTGTAAAAAATAAATACGCAGAAGTATGCAAGGTAACTCTCTACATAATTTTAAAAATGTATGTTGTAGTTCATTTTTATGCTCTGTCAAACATGAGAACAGAAGAAAACTGTGAATAGACTTCTTAAAGATTCTAAAAACATTGTACCCTGTAAACTTTAAAGTTATGTACATCCATCATGGATTTATGTCAAAATCATTAACAAAGCTGCAAGTTGTTTATGTCTTTGAAGTTTATAGGTTACAGTAATTACAGTTAAGCCCATTCAGAAAATCTTCAATTGTCAGAAAAAGAGAAGCCATCCTGATGGCCTGATGAATAAAAAAAAGACAGTCCAGCAGCCTTCTAAAGAGAACCTTCCATAAAGTGTTCCAACAAAACTAGAAAAGAATGTATGTGAATTTCTAGGTCTGTGGGGATATCTGGCTCAGATTTTCCTGAATAAGATAAAAATGTGATGGATTATATGCATTGGAAAGACATATTCTGGCTTGCCTACACTGCCGTTGGAGAAGGAAATAAATATAAATGGAAGGCGAAGAGGCTAAATGAAAGGGATAAGAGGGAAAAAGAACATTTCTACTTGTTTAATGTCTATACATTATATATGATTAAAAAAATTAAGAATGTACATTTTGAATTCCCAGACTACAATTTCATCTCAGGTTTGTCACTGGGATTTACCCATGAAAATACCATTATTATTCTGCATGGTTTGTTCAGGAAGAATATATTGGGGGGGGGGGGGGG